TCTCTCTCTCTCTCTCTCTCTCTCTCTCTCTCTCTCTCTCTCTCTCTCTCTCTCTCTCTCTCTCTCTCTTCATCATGGGGTCACTCAGAGTATTTTGATACAAACCAGAATGCCCCTCTCTGTAATGAGGTTAATGATGCACCTAAACCAGATGAAAATGAAGAAATACAGCCAATATTCTCACAGATTGAGAAAGTAAATGGGCATGCCATTTGGCAGTTAATGAAATAATTATTTTATTTCTACCTTTCAGGTCTGTTGTGTAAAGTAGTCTATGATTTCACCTCTAATGGTTTGAAAATCAGTCAAAACAAATATCAATATGTAATGTAAATCTACATGAATATTGTTCATTGAACAAGTTTGAATTTAATTTAAATCACTTTGTTTCCCTGAAAACCAACCTGAATCTACCATACTGTTGAAATTAAAAAAAAGATTTTTTTGGATCAAAGTTTTTCCCATCAAACTAAAATGATTTGAACAACACAAACTGAGGGTTTAATCCATATCAAAAGAGGATTGGATTACAAAATCTAATCCTGGTTTCAGTACCTGTTTTTGGTTTTGAAAAACCCATTTTCAAGATATTGTATTATCCAATCCATTWTCCAAAATCTGATCGGATTACCTTTGAATAACTGGCCTGAGGTGGTTCAACACCAGCCTTTCAAAGGATTTCATGTGCAAATTTGCCTGTCTAGAAAGCCTATGTACAAGGCAATTGTTACATTCTTGTTTTGTTTTTTTTTACATACTATTCTTGACAAATTAAAGGCATATGAAATACTTTAACCTTAAGCCCGATGGGCCCTGTACAGGGCCAGCAGATGGTGTCATTCATTGTTGTTTGCTAAAGTAGGTGTAAAACTTGTTTTTCCCAATTGAGTTGCCAAATTATTTTTGGATAAATATTTATGATTTTAGAGCTATATAAACATTTGGAAGTTTCTTGAACCKTCGCGGACCGTTTTAGTATCAGGAAGTTCTTCGCATCTGTTGCTGTGCAAGTTTAGGTACCATACCCCTCCGTTTGGTATCTTTTAAAAGACGAACCTCTCACAAATTCAGGGATATATCTTGACACTGTGTTTACTCTTTGTTTGGTGACGTGAAGCTTGTGCGTAACGAAGAGTTAAAATAACAGCCCTCGTGCGTAAAAYGTCGAGGCGGAGTTGCGTTTCATTCAGTGATTTCATGGTGTGCACAATGGTAGATTTTGATGATGCACAGTGTAAATGTAAAAAGAAAAGGTCAAGTCATATGCAGAATGAGTCCTACAACAGAAATCAACACTTTTATTAGACCAGATTCTCTTTTATAAAGTAAAAAACTCATTTGGCATAGTTTTGGATACATTTGGCTAAATTGTGCCAAAATGTCATTTCCGCCTGGCACACTGCTCACTAAAACCTTTGTGAAATAAATATACTTCAACTTATTCAGTCCTACTTTGCTACAGTTTTTGTCAAGATGTAGATGTATAATACCTAAGGGCATTCCTGGGTTTTCACAAGAAATTTCATTGTGTTTTGCACTGTTGATTTAAAAAAAAAAGGCGAGGCTAAAAAACATTACAAATTTTCTTTATTTAATCACAAATAACTAAGGCACAGTAAAAGTTTTAATAGTGGTTTCAGTTAAGAAATTATCTTTAAGATATTACCTTTACAGAGATACCAAGAGTTAGCATTTAGACCTTATAACTGTGGAGCTATTCTTGCTTTATTTTGCTGTGTATTTGCAGGCGGAAATTACCTCTGAAACCCCTTAGGGCAGGGCTATTCAACTGGTGGCCCGCGGGCCACATCCGGCCTGCGAGTGACCAAAGTTTGGCCCGCCAATTGGTTCATTCATCTCTTAAGCCCAAAATCCCGGTTTTCAACTTTAATTACTCTAAATTATTTTAGTTAAACGTAGACATGTTCGGTGTCTACAGAAATGTTAGAATCTTGGCTACAAGCTGGTAAAAACCATTTCTATGAACATCCAAGACAGTTAAACTACAAGCAGTTGAATATAGAACTATGAAAGTGAAAATAAAACTGGTTTAAAAATTTGGTAAGTCAGAGATGTTATAATATTTTGTGGTAAATAAGAGGCATAATATGTTTCTTTTTCTGTTTTATCATCACTACATTTATTAAGTAGGGTTCTGTATGTTTTCATGATTAAATACAGCAAAATAGGTAATGGATCTTTCTAATGCTTAGTTTATTTACATAACAACTTTAATTGCTGGATGTTCGGCCCTTGAGCTGTTGGTCTGCATTAACTGTGGCCCCCGGAGCAATTTAGTTGAATAGTCCTGCGTTAGGACTATTCAACTACACATGTACTACACATGTACTGTACATGTACTACGAATGTACAAGAGCTCAGCATGAATAAAAATATGGAGTGGTAGGGTGCTTCTCCACTTAACCAAACCCACCTGTGACAAATACCTGTGTATTGTCATAGCAGCAAAGCATGTTGGTCATATGACAGCAATATTGCCTTTTATCAGACCCCCCAAGARTCTTGTGTGACACAAATATACTCTTATATATTTTGTAATCCTATTTGTGAGTATCTGCGTGTGTGTGAGTAT